TATACTAATATGTGTTAATACAGAGATGTGTGCATCGAATACTCTGTTCACCTCCCCTGCACCAATGAAAATCTTCCAAAATTGTATCCGTGAGCACACTATGAATAAAAGATTAAAATGTCACGCTAAAAGAACATTTTTAATGAAGAGACTTCTTGGAAAATGATTGCTAAAAATTATACATAATGACTAATAATAGTTCTCACTGAATCTGCCCCCCTTTTTTTGCTGATTGAAAGCAATACATTAAACATCATGGTATGAACTAAAACTTTTATTTCTGTTCTTTCTTTATTTTTTTGTAAACTATATCCCCGATGTTCCTATAACATAGGCAATTTATCATGCATAAGATCCGAACAATCGACTAAGTAAACGAACCCAACATAACATATGCTATTTAACTTATTCCAAACGGTTTTAAACACCGAATTTAACACATGCATCGTTTTCTTCACTTTATATATATCTCGCCCAGTATTTACAGCAGGGCAGTTTACCCTAGCTATCTCATTTGAAAGGGCACAAAAAGTACTTTCCAGAAAAAAAATAGGTTGCCTTCATGAAAACTTGATCGAGCTAAGCTTATATTACTTTTACAAAAAATTCAATCAGTAGAATTAACTTAGCAAAAAAGTTTTAAAGAGGGTCTAAATGGGGGGTCCACAAGGCGGTTGTCGGTTAAAATTTCATTACTTTGTCGGTTGCCGGTTAAAATTTTTGACCTTTGTCGGTTGTCGGTAAATCTCAGTTATTTTTTTTGTCGCTAGTCGGTAATTTTTTCCTCGTTTTGTCGGTAGTCAGTAATATTTTTCGCCTTTTGTCGCTAATCGGTTAACCCCATCCAGGCCCTCTTTAAAAAATTGAGAGAAACAAAAAAAAATTGGCAAACCACTCTGCTATTCGTATTTGATGCAGAAAGAAACCATTTGCCTTGATATAGGAGAAAACGTAACCCGAAAACAAAACAGATATCGAGAAAATCTGGAATTTAGTAGCTACGACTTTTCTTCGAGACTGAAGCATCGCGTTACAGTCACCATGGTAACCTCCATATATGCAAATTAGAGTCAAGTTACGCGTCCCAACGAATCGAAACGCACCAAAACGAGGCTTTTATCTAAAGCTCTACCCGTCCTTAAATGACTCAATACACATAATTCAATAAAAAAGCGGTATTCTAAACGTAATACTGGTGATCCGAAGAGTATTTATTAGTCGTATTTGAACACGTGTTCATATCTCGAACACGTGCGAGACCACACGTACGATCGTTTAGCTACAATTCGCCCTTCGAATTTCCAGATGATTCGGAAATTACTTTCTCAAATACTCACGATACCTTCTGAGTTGTTTTCCTCACCCAAAACCCTCTTCAGGATCTTTAAAATTGTTTTAAATTCGTTCCGCTAATCCGAAGCGCTTACATCATGTAGGCCATATTTAAGTGTCTTAGATCCCCTGCGAGCAGCGTTCACAAAAAAGTGATTTTTGTCCGGTACCTTTCGCTGCTAAATGCACCACGTTAACTACTATAGGCGGGGACGTCCATCCGTCCTCGGGTTTTAGCTTCTGGGCCAAAACCCTGCGGGGCCACTAACGTTTTGCACGAACAGTAGAACTTCCTGTGAGCGGACACTCTTGGGACCAGAAAGTGTCCATCGAACAGAGGTGGTTTTGGCTGTGGCCAAGACTGTACTAAGCGTCGACTTACAAGAGATGTCCGCTTACCTGAGTATTTGTTATCCGTTGCAATTGGTGTAGGCGTTTGAACTAAATTTGGTTTATTCTCTGCTGTGAATGTCGCCTTAAGTCTACCGTTATATTTGCGAGGTCCGTACTTATCAGCTCTGAAACGCACCCACATGTAGCGGCCACTGGAGCGAATGTCATCTGGTTTCCTGTCACCACAAAATTGTCGTTTACTCTTACTATTACTGGAGTTTCCATCCAGAATCTCCACATAATCTCCACAGTATATCATTGGCTCCAGTTGAAATCTGTCAAATCTGAGTTTCACAATCATCCCTTCTGGTACAGTGATGAGCCAATCACAGCTCGAGCCTGGGGGTTAATAGTTGGGGTCCTGTGGACTTTGTAGAGTTCCATATGAGCCACTTAAAATCAGGTTGTTATTGTAGATGTTCCCCGTGAAACACGCCTCCTTAGAAAAGAAACTTATGGAGAAATGAACAAATTTTACAAATTTGGCTTATTAATTCTTCGGGAATAACTAACCGTTGAGCTAATTACGTACCTCTCACACTCAATTTTATAATAGAAAGGAAACACCAATTCAAGAATTTGTGAATCAACAATAACGTAATGCAATCACTGAGTCTCATACTGTCTTGAAAAATAAGTCTTGATCTTGTTAGTAATACTTACGGAGGTCGGTGTGTACAGCTTCAAAACGGGCTTTGAAACCCTTTAACCTTCACCAACTGTCCACCACTGCAGACCAAAACTCCACCCACATGTACCTTCCGGTGGAGTAAACATCAGAAGGAGTGGACACGTATCCACAATGAATAGCAAGTTCTTTACTTGCTGAAATCTGTCCATCGAGTATCTGCACATAGTTTTTCTCACGCTTACTTGCTATACAGCCGTAAGGAACTGCGTCAAGATCAAAGTCTTCACATTTCAGTTTCACTATTTTCCCGGCAGGCACAGAGATTACCCAGATTCACTTGGTATAACTTGGGTAAGGATTAGAGTAATCAGGCGTAAAAAAATGTACCAGAAGAACCATTCAGCCAATGGAGCTTGTTACTCCCATCTAATGGACGACATATCCCAGAAACTTCCTGAGATCTAAAGCAAATAGGAACAACATTAATTACCACTGTTAAAGAGAGCGATGGTTGATCTTTACTTCACTGTAAATAACCTGCCTTGATTTCTGCTTGCCACAACTGTTGTACTAGAGAGTAAAAAGTCTACCAGTGTTCGTAATGTACGATCATCCGACTAAATTGGATCAAAGATTTTCTTTGTAGCTCTATGCTCAAGACAAACCGAATAGCCTACCGAGTCTTAGAATGTTTCTTATAAGACTTTGTAAAATAGTACCTACTGTCATAGGTACACAATGCAGGTAGAGGTCTGTGTACTGGGAGAGGTAGCTTTAAAATCTATCACATTCCTTCGATCAGTTATCTAAAAGAGGTTACAAAAGAATCCTTTGAAGGAAAATATACGATACTAAGGAGGTAGTTAGTTAGACTGTGAGCTGTCTCTCTTTTGCTCGAAAATCCGTAGGAGGAGTGCAACGAACGCAAAACAAGTGAGCGGTCGTGAGCGAGCGAGCGTGTCATGCGAGAACGTGTTTTCGTGAAAATCCAATCACCAATTTCAAGAATTCACTACAAGCTCTCTTAGAAGTGGGGGCAAACTCCAGTAAAATTGGCGGGTTGTCACTGCATTGCTGATATGTTAGAACACAATACAGGCCTTTTTATTTTAGAAATAGAAAACATGTTCCGTGCCTTCGAGTTAAAGATTTTAAAAAAAAGTGAAGCTTGAGAGAAAGTGTGTTTCTACAGCTTTTTCGAAAACAATGTATCCCTATACACGGTTGGAGGTGCAGTGGCCTATTTGTAGTTGTTTTAAAATAAGCTAGTCGAGGTTATCACTTACTACTTGAAATAGAGCGTGCTCTTTCATGCAGTAATTAGTAGAAGTAAAACCCCCAAACTGGGGGTCAAACTATTTTTTAACATCCTTGAAAGGAAAAGAAGAACATTTCCACTTATCACAATCTTAATCTCAAGCGAGTTTGTGGTACACTCCATAAGAAAAATATTCTTGAAAAACTGCATCAAAATGAGATTTGTAAACAATTAAATATTGGTGATTTTTTCTTGTAAGGCATAATTGTCAAGTACGTGACTGTGATGAGCACCTGCTGCTGGTGATGATCGCCTACCACTCTAGTGTACCCACATCCACACAGTACCCTCCGTTTTATTTTTGGTTTAGCTATGAGGTACGATCGCGAGTTGATGTTGTTTGGAGAACAACCAAACCACCAGCAGGAAGTATCAGAGTATGCAATGACACTTCTCTGTGATGTAAAATGCGTTTTTAAGAACTTATTTATTGTTATTATTATTATTATTATTATTATTATTATTATTATTATTATTAT